GCATTGTCAGGGTTCTCCGGGCAGTCGGAAAGTGATGTTGTGCAGTCTCTGAAGCAATCAATTGGCCGACTTGGCTGCGTGGAGGCCTGGCTTGAGGCCACATTGGGGCAATCCGGAAGCCTCCCGGGGCCTCCTTGAAGCAATTTTGATGCATCGAGAGCACTGTTCGGCTATCTTGGGGCCTCTTGGGGCCTTGGGGGGCTTTGGGGGGCCTCGTCGGACCACTTTGGGACTGTTGGGGCCTCCTGTGGGCCTCTTAGGACGGAAAGCTCTGCTGTTGGGTTCGCGTTCCCCTTCTTGGGACTCTCTTGGGCCCCTCTTGGGGCCCTGTCGGGCCGTCTTGGGCGCCTCGGGCCCCGTCTTGGGGTCCTAGTGGGCCGTCTTGGGGCCCTCTTGGAGGCCTCTTCGGCTATCTTGGAGCGGCCGTGGGGGCCAATTGGGCCGTCTTGGAGCGTCGGGATGCCAAAAGGCTGGGAACTCTAAAATCCATCAACGGCCGATGGGAAAACAATGCTTCTTGGAACCTCTTCGGGCTTCTGGGGAGCTTCTTGAGGGCCTCTTGGGTCCCACTTGGGGGCCTCTGGGGCTTCCTGAGAGCCTCTCGGGGTGAAGGCTCGGATTTTCGGTTCGTCTTAACCTTCTTGGGCCCCCCTTGGGGCCGTATTGGTGCCCTCTCGGGCTGTCTTGGGCCCTGTTGGAGGCCTCTTGGGCTATCTTGGATTGGTCTTGGAGGCCTTTTGGGCCGTCTTGGAGCGTGAGGACGCCCAAAGGCTGAAAACTCGAGCATCAATAAAAAACCCATGGCAAGACATGGATGTTTGCCTCTTGGGGCCTTCGTGCGAGGCCTCTTGGATACTCTTCGGCCCCCTGGGGGGCTTCTTGGGGCCTCTTGGAGCCTGTTAGGGGCTTCTCGGGGCCTCCTGAGAGCCTCTCGGGGTGGAAGACTCGGAGTTTCGGTTCGTGTCAACCCTCTTGGCTCCATCTTGGGGTCGTCTTGGGGCCCTCTCGGGCCGCCTTGCGCGCCTCTGGCGCCGTCTTGGGACCCCCGTGGGCTGTCTTGTAACCGTCTTCGAGGCCTCTAGGGATGCCTTGGAGCGGAAATCAAAGCCTCTTGGGCCGTCGTGGAGCGTCAGGAAACTCAAAGGGCGAGAACTCGAAAATCGATCAAAAACCAAAGGAAAACAAATCAGTTGTGCCTCCTGGGGCTCCTTGGGAGCCATCTTGGAGACCTCTTGGGGCGTCTTGGAGGCCTCTTGGACAGTCAGGGACCAATTCTGGGGTGATCTCGGGCGGTCATTGGGCGACTTTACAAGGCCCCCAGCGCCACGGCAAGGCCCCCGGGCCCCCCGGTGCGAGGCCTCCGTCCCGGGCCCCGCCTCGTGCCCGCGGCAGGGCGTCCTTGGGCCGTCTCGGCGCCCTCGTGGGGGCCTGTTGGGGCGACATTGGGTGTCTGAAATCAATCAAACCTAAGGACAATCAATGATTTTGGCGTCCCTTTGGGCCGTGTTGGAAGCCTTGTGGGCTGTCTGGAGGCCATCTTGGGCGTGTTCGAACGATATGTCCTCTTTTCGGGGCCTCTTGGGGGCCTCTCGCGGAGCTTTCTTGGGCAGTCTGGGGGCGGCCCGGGGCTGTCTCGGCGCCCTCTTGGAAGCCTGTGTGGAAGATTTCTGGGTGTTCTGGACCGTCCTCCTTCAACGTCGGCGGCAGTGGCCGTAAGACTTCCTGGGAACATGATTTGTTGGGGTGTCGTTGGGCGCCTCCGGAGGCTTCGGGGCCTGACGCGTTTCCCAGCGTGGCGGGAGGTAGCGCTGCTTGGGACTCTCGTTATTTTTTTTTCTGGCAGGCGTTTATAAACATGGTTTGGGGAGAGGGCGGCAACCCGAGAATCATATTCCCAGGAAGCTTTCCGGGAACATGATTTGTTCGGCTCTCTTAAGAGGGTGGGCTGTGGGGGCTTACCGAGGGGCTCTTTTTGGCCTTGTCGGCAAGCCTATTGGAAACATGGTTGGGGTGATGGGCAGAAGCCCAAGAGATCATGTTCCCGGAAAGCTCTGGGAAATGCGATTTACCGAGGTCTCTGGGATCCCTTCTAAATCACGCCACGTTCACAAACAGGCCTCACGACATACTTTGGAATCGCCCCCCCCCCCTGCCCCGTTTCCCTGGTGCCTAGACAAGGGGGCGACACCAACCGACGAACTCAAACACAAATCGACAAACTAACGCAAAAACCTACAAACTAAAACAACAATCGGCAAACTAAAAAAAACTACAAACTAAAACACAAATCGTCAAAAGAAAACAAAAACCAACCAAATGTGCTACGATGTCTAAGGAAGCCTCTTGGAGATTATCTGGGAGTTTCTTGGGTGGAACCTCCTATAGGGCACAAGCCGCGCGAGAAAGTGCGTGTCGAAACTCGAAGTGCGAAAACAGACGGACAGCAACAGCACCGAACGCAGAAACATGCAATGCAACGCTAATCGCGCTCGCGCTCACTTGAGCAAGCTCCGGTTTTTCCTGAGAGCCGAAGAGTCCGAAGCCACCCAGAAATGCCACTGAACAACTCGAGAACCTTCTTTGGGGTCGGCGGCAGAGGCGGCAGCCTTTAATATACTACATTATCCTCCTCCTCCTCCTCCTCCTGCTCCTGCTCCTCCTCATCTTGTCTGCCTCCCCGCATTCACCCTTCCCTCTCCCTCCGTTCGCGATTCCTCCCTTCTGGTATTCCTCTTCCTGCCTTCCTGCCCGTCCTCCTTCCTTCCACCAGCCACGCTCACCGAACGCCCGTCTTTGCTCCTCCTCCTGCTCCAAGTCTACTTCCCCCCCTCCTAGCCGCCTTGTGTCCCCGCCCCCTGCAGAGGCGGCCCCGGCGCGGAGGCGGCCGTGGCCGCCGCTGCCGCCGCTCGGCGGGGGGCAGGCGCCGCTCACGGCGCAGCTGCAGGCGGCGGCACCGCCGCGGCCCTGTGGCGCGCCGGCGGCGCTGGCCGCCGCCGCGATCGTCGCGCCATCGCCGGCAGCGGCCCCGGCCGCACCGGTGGCCGCCGCCGCGGGACCCCGGGAGCCGCACCGTGGGCACGACCACCGCGGGCGCGGGGTGTCGCGCAAGCGGCCGCAGGGCAAGCCGAGCGCACCCGCGGCACGCGGAGCTGGGTTCGGCCTCTCCTCCTTGGGCGTGCGGCGGGACACAGGGCGGGCCGTCCGGCGAACGCGAGTTGTCTCTCTCCTGGGCGGCTCACGGCGCAGGAGCCTCCATGGTTGATGAGGTGCGCCTGGCCAAGCCGAGTGCCAGCGGGGCCATTGGTGGGTGCAGCAAGCGGGTCCGCCCCGTCAACACTGCTTTGGGCCACCGAGGCCAATCCTGAGTATGGTCCCGTGTACGCTGCTATGTATCTGCGATTCGGAGGCGCGCTTCGCTCGCTGGCTGGGTCTGGGAACACAACACATCTTTGAGTATTGTCTGTCATGCATGGGTGCGAATATCCACGCTGATGGTGACCGATCTCCCGTGGACCAATAACTTAGGTAATCGTGTGACAATCATTCTCCAAGTGCGGGTGATCATGCTTTGACACTGGTCTACTCCGCTGTTTGATCACGGCTTTGGGCAAGCACATCTCGTCACCGACCATATGCCGTATGCAGATTCGAATACAAGGAAGGTAAATCATCCGAAGACTTGGCAATCCCCATGGGGCCCAACGCGCGTCTTTGGATAAGGGCGCTCCCTGGTTGCATCGGAGCCAGGAGTGCGGCGGTGAAAGATTGTTGTTTAGCCTCTGGCCTTTGGCCTCTAGCCTCAGGGTGCTGTGGTCCAGTGTCCACTGTGTCCATTGGTTTGGCGGAGTCCCTGAAGTGGTTACAGTGCGAGCGCCTCACGGCCAGGCGTCAAGCTTGATGTGGGAAACAAATTGGGAAGCGTTCGAACACCTGCAGCCAGCAAGGTGGAGGTCGTCCTCTGGGGTACAGTGGATCGGGGGAGGGCCCCGCGCGCTTCGGCACCGTGCTGGCGCCGCGGGCGTGCCGCTGTCGCTGGATGATGTGGGACCACGAGGCACCAGCATGCTTCCCTGATGGGTGCACGGTGGGGCTGGCCGCGAGGTCAGTGGGCTGCCACCACCATGCAGGCGCGGCGTCGGCGAAGAGCACCTCCGGCGTGAGCGCCAGCAAGCGTGCACCATCGCCGCGGCCCGCCGCCACATGGAAGCGCCGACTTCGTGCACTGGGCCGCCGTCAGTCTCAGCCGAGGTCTGTCTCGGCCTCGGCCGCGTCGGTCGCGCAGCGCTTCCTCTCGGGGAACGCTGCTGCCCAACCTCGAGGCTGCGCAGCCCTCCCCCCCATCCCGCCTCTTCAGGAACCCCGCCGTCCCCGATTCTCGTCCTTCCCTCGTCCCTCGTCCAACCTGCACCCTTCCTCAATTCTGCCCATTCCTCCCTCCTCCCTCCCCCTCGTGCTGCTCCTCCTCCTCCTCTTTTCGCCCCTCCTCCCCCGGCCCCTGGTGCCTCCTCCCCCATCCCGCCTCCCTGCTCACCGCTCCCGCTCCCCCTCTTTTCGTCGCTTGCGTAGTCGCCCCACCACCCCCCCCTTGCCCTCGTCGCCCTCATCGCCGCCCTCTGTGCCGTCGTCGTCGTCGTCCGCGGCTCTGCCCTGCCCTGGTCGTCGCCCTCGTCGCCTCTGACCTCGCTGATGGCCTCCCGGCAACTCTGAATCAGCCCCCAGACACTCTCAGGATCCACACGCACCAATGTTCCGAGCTACGTCCAGCCGTGGCGATGAGGGGACCCCCGAAGGCCGACTACTGTTACCTCGACTCGCCCCCCTATCGTTGCGCTCTGGTTTTCGGGCCGTAGGCCCTTTGGGACGATCCAAGCATCCCCGCAACGCTCGCAGCGAGGCGCAGCCGCCGGAAGGCATCCCGAGGCTGGAAAACCGATGATAATCGACGAAGAAGCAAGAAAAAGCCTCGAACCTCGAAGCCGAACCGTTTCTAAGTGTCCAGCCTTGCCACTGCCCCCGCCGTGGCCGGCGCCGCCACCGCCCGCCATCGCCGCCGCCCAGCAAGGGGCAGCGGCCGCGGGCCGTCCTGTCCCGCGACCGCGCCGAGTCGAAGACGAGCCTGGCCCCGCGGCCGCGGGGCGGCGAATGGGCGCTGGCGGCAAGCGCTGGCCGACCGCGCTGACGAATTCGACCTTGGACAAACAGGGGGACGCTGTACATTTCATCGCGTTATCCATCCTGTCCTCTTGGCGGTCCATATTGCTGGCGAACGCGGGGGGCTTGCTGGGGCTCATCACTGGGCTCGATGATGAAAGCGACCCAAGCCACCCCCACACCCACCACATCGTGTTTCATAGTTTCAAAGCTTCTCTGTAGAGCCTGTGGCCCGGCGACCGTCTTCAGCTGCATGTGCCTCAAGAGAGGCCCCTGGTGATTTGCGAAAGATGCAACCGCCGAGGGCGAGGGAAAAAACATTGGTATTAAACCTGCAACGTGCTTAATAAACACCAGCAGCTTGTTAATGAAAAAACTGCCGCGCACGAGATTGCCTGGGCCACTGTTCAAATCGCACCATCGCGCACGTGTAACGGCGCAATCTCATGAACGCAAGAACGCGCTTATAAACCACGCACAACATGTTTGATAACAACGAAGACGGTTTTATTAAACGATTGGTGAAACGGCAAATGTCGCGATTCGCAATCGACGAAGTCCGCAAGCGTTCCGGTGAAAACTTAAACATCAGCCTGGTGGGTGTGGGGGGGTGTTCTCTCTCTGTCTCTCTCTCTCTCTCTCGAGATGACGAGCTCTCAGACTCGAAACGCAAAGGGGGGAACAACAGACGCGACCAACCAACGCTGCAGGAAGGGGGATCCCCCGAGCCAAACTGGCCACGGACGGGAAGTTCGGGGTGGGAGGGGAAGGGGAAGCAAAAAGGGAGCGGAGGGAAAGGAGGGACAGAAACGAGGAGGGAACGTGAGAAATGGAGAGAAAGGCGAAACGATGGAAGGAAAGGGCGGGAGGATGGTGAGTGGAGGGAGGCAGGAATGAAAGAGAAAACAATACATTCATGATTATGTACGTTTGCAATCTGGAACCATCGCGCACGCCTCGAGCGTTTTGGTGCTCCTGGCTGAGGCCATGGGCCGTTTGCGCCACACTTTGTGACGGGGACGCCAAAAAGGCCTCAAAAGGATTCCAAGATGGCAGAAAGAAGCGTCGTCCCCGTCGTCGTTGTTCTCATGGCTGCTTGTGAGGCCACTTGAATCCAGCGGGGAGACAGCCTACCCACGACTCGCATGGGGCCACCACCAAATTGCAACCACCACGTAGCTTGATTGCGCCAACATCATGGTTCCTCCTCCTCCTCCTCCTCCTCCTCCTCCTCGCCCTCCTCCCATTCCTCCGCCTCCCTCTTCCTATCCTTCCTCCTTCTCTCTATGCGCATACTATCAATGCTTCTGTTCCCCAGAGCATCTTTTGGAGGGGTGCGGGAGGCGACGATAAAACGAGAAAGCGCGACGGCGGCCCTTTCCGATGCGTCTTTCTATGCGCTTTACTTGTTTGCGCGCTTTTGCCCATGTCGCCCGGCACGCGCGCCCATTTGGTGAGACGAGGGTTGCGATGGGTCGCCTGAGCCTTTCCCTCTCCTCCTCCACCACGCCTTCCCCTCAGCCTCGTCCTCCTCCTCCTCCTCCCCCCCCTCCTCCTCTTCTTCCTCCTCCTCCTCCTCCTCCTCCTCCTCCTCCTCCTCCTCCTCCTCCCCCTCCTCCTCCTCCTCCTAGCCATTTCGCGTCCGAGCGGCCCCCCCTGCACCGGGCCCCTTGGACGATGCGGCGCGCAAACTTCGAAGTGGCGCTGCGCGCCCGAGTCATGAAGAAGCAGCGCGGAGCCCCACGTCATCAGCTACAACGCTGAGATCAGGCGAACGCGCAGCTGCCAGGATGCCCGCCCCCTCCCGCCCCCTCCTCCTCCTCTCCGTCTCCACCCTCCTCCACCTCCTGGCAGACCGGGGCGCCAGCCGATGCGGCGCCGCGGGCAGAGTGCGGGGACAACAGAGTCGTGATCAGCTACAGCGTAGGGATCAGGCCGTGAGAGAAGACCAGCAGTGGCAGGCAGAGCTGACGCTGCGAGAAAGCAAGCAGTGGCAGCCAGAGCTGGCGCTGCGACAGGGACGAAGGCGCGGGTGGGCCACGATCAGCTACAACGCTGGGAGCAATCCGTGCGAGAAAGGGAGCGCGCAGTGGCAGCGGACGCTGGCGCTGTGCAACATGCGCGGGTGGGCCACGATCAGCTGCAACGCTGGGAGTCGTCCGTGCGAGAAGGAGGGCCTGCGAGAAGCGGGAGGCGAAGCTGGAGCCCGAGTGTCTCTTCTAGCTAACGCCTCTGGGAACAGCGCGGGTGGGAAAAACGAGCAATGTTCTGCCGCGGCCACCCTGCGAGAAGTGCGAGGCGAAGGCAAAGCCCGATGTCGACAGCTACAGCGTTGGGATCGGGACAAGCCGCTGCGAAAAGAGGGAGGCGAAGCTGGAGCCCGAGTGTCTCTTCTAGCTAACGCCTCTGGGAACAGCGCGTGCGAGAAAAGCGAGCAATGTTCTGCCGCGGCCATCCTGCGAGAAGTGGGAGGCGAAGGCAGAGCCCGATGTCGACAGCTACAGCGTTGGGATCGGGGCAAGCCGCTGCGAAAAGAGGGAGGCGAAGCTGGAGCCCGAGTGTCTCTTCTAGCTAACGCCTCTGGGAACAGCGCGTGCGAGAAAAGCGAGCAATGTTCTGCCGCGGCCATCCTGCGAGATGTGGGAGGCGAACGCAGAGCCCGATGTCAACAGCTACAGCGTTGGGATCGGGGCAAGCCGCTGCGAGAAAAGGGAGGCGAAGCTGGAGCCCGAGTGTCTCTTCTAGCTAACGCCTCTGGGAACAGTACGTGCGAGAAAAGCGAGCAATG